TCATTGTGTCTTGTTGTGTCTCTTTGTGTCTAATTGTGTCTCATTGTGTCTTGTTGTGTCTTGTTGTGTTTCATTGTTTCTAATTGTGTCTCATTGTGTCGTGTTGTGTCTTATTGTGTCTCATTGTGTCTCATTATGTCTTATTGTGTCTCATTGTGTCTCATTTTGTCTCATTGTGTCTTATTGCTGAGTGTGGAATAAAGTGCACCGACACATCGGTTATTATACAAATATATAGATATGGTGAACATGTTCGTTCATTCCTGTGTCCAACGCACCTCCTCGTCAACCGATTGAAACACCACATTAAAAGAAGGGAGTATGTAGCAGTGGAATAAGGAGGTGGAGTCGTGTTGTGTCTTGTTGTGTCTCATTGGTTCTCATTCTGTCTTATTGTGTCTTGTTGTGTCTTATCGTGTCTCTCTTTGTCTAATTGTGTCTCATTGTGTCTTACTGTGTCTTATTGTGTCTCATTGTGTCTTATTGTGTCTCATTGTGTCTTATTGTGTCTCATTATATCTCATTGTGTCTTACTGTGTCTTGTTGTGTCTCGTTGTGTCTAAGTGTGTCTTATTGTGTCGTATTGTTACTTATTGTGTCCCATTGTGTCTCATTTTATGTCTTATTGCTGAGTGTGGAATAAAGTGCACCCACCCATCAGTTATTATACAAATATATAGATATGGTGAACATGTTCGTTCATTCCTGTATCCAACACACCTCCTCGTCAACTGATTGAAACACCACATTAACAAAAGGGAGTATGTAGCAGTGGAATAAGGTGGTGGAGTCAAGATAGCAGCTGGTAGTGGAAACGTCAAGTGGACAGCAGGTAGCAGCAGTTGGTTGTGGAAAACGTCAAGTGGACAGCAGGTAGCATTTAATGATAACCTGAGTGGAGCCAAGGCATCCCATAACAACGGCATTGGTGTGGCGCCGAGTACGGCTGGCTTATCACCAACGACAACAGCAACAACATAAACAATGAAGAATCGCCGCCCGACGTATACCTGTTCAACTGACTGAAAGAGTCTCTCCACTGGGAACAGTTGGCATTTGATCCCAGTGTGTGTTCTGTCACCTGCGTTTTACAGTGTACGTTGTCGACAGCTTTTTATCCTTCGACAATTAATATGGCTGCTTTCTTCTAAAGCTTCTCCCACTGATCCTCATTAGAATCGGTTTACAGAAATCCATCCTCAACTCTTAAAAGAGGCGACCGACGAGATCGGGTGGTCAGGCTCCCTGATTTGGCTGAGACATGTCATCGTATCCCTGGTGTCAGCAACAATTACAACAGACGCATACGAATGACTATTTATTCTCTTACACTTATATAGCAACATACTCTCATCTTCTTCATGACAATATATTCCGTTTATGTTATTTATAAATAACTTAAGAAAGGCACAATGCAAGTATCAGTGAATAAACAGATTCAATTTCAAAAACACATGTGTATGAGTATCAAACATCTCATATACATGTCCCTATTATTGAGCAAGCAAACACTTGTGTGGCCATGCGTGTCAAATGATATTGTCCCACAGCTAGGTGTAGCAGTGAGTGTGTCTGTAGTCACACCGATACGAACACCTCACAAATTGTAATTGCAGAGAACCCGTCATAATCCGGGTAAGAATATAGAGAACCAGCCTATGCTTGTCGTAAGAAGGGACACAATGGAACGGACGATCGACGCGGTGACGGGGGATATCTGTCATCTATCCCAAAACGTGTAGGTCGATGTTCATGTTGTCTTGCCGAAAGCTGTTTATTGACATACCGCCGTCATGCAGCGTGAGTACTGCTGACTGCGGCGTTAAACAAGTTGGAAAGGATAGTCCGAATGTGGTATTTGTGCATTGAATACTGGAGGAGTTGTGTCCCTTGAAGATAGCAACCGCACAGTTCATCTGGTTCAAACAGGACATCGCTTGTCAGGGATCAGGTTGTTTTTATATAACACCAGGAAATATTGTTTTTCATGTGCGTGAATATGAGTATTGTATCATTATCTTATCTGTATGAATGAATCGCTCAACAATTCCTGCTTTTTGTCAACAGCCTCCATATGAAGATCATGTGTATACGATTACAATAATAATCACCTATTTAGAAATGCAATCATTTATCTATAAACTTGTTGCACATACTTGCAATATTTGCATTTTCAAATATCCACTAACTAAACACGATTGATGTATGTTTCGGACACGTACTTGAGTTCACATGTATCATATTTATCATATTTATCACATGTATCATATTTATCATATTTATCTCATTATCCACGGCCACATACTTGAGTTCATGCTGAACAAATGTTTCTCATGCTTTGAACAGTATCCCAGACAGAAGCACCTCACGGCGTGTCACCCTTATATGGAGGAAAACCTGAAGTGGTTCATGTATGAAATGTTTACCACTTTGTTGAAGTAGGGTAGGGTGCTGATAAACTACAGACATAATCTCGTCGAACAGGTATTCAAACCAACAATCATAGGTTGCTGGCGTGCCCAAGGGAGACAACTCTGTACATATATTTATAGGCCTAGGCCACAGGTGCCCTGTAATAAGAGGTTAGGTAGGTATATCGATATCCTACAGCACATTACAAGAGACCAAACAATATGGACATATCGTAACATTAGAATGAGGAAATGTGATCCAAATGATTATTTCATACTCCGTAATTACTGTGAAAAAGTAAAATGGCTCAACTCGAATCCCACCTAAAACAAATATGAAGGTAATGGGCAAAAGATAATCTGAAATTTGTGCGGGCAAATCTGGAGATCGCCCATTCAAACTCTCCACCTAAACCCTGTACCTCGCCCGGCCAATCCCACAACTCCCCTACTCAACCACCCACCTTGCTAATTCATTTCCCTACTCGATCCCGCACTCCTTCAAGTCAACCACGAGCCTCCTCACCGCAACCCCGACCACTTTATACTGGACCCCACCCGACCACCCCCCACCCCACATCTCAACCCTGCAACTCCTCCAGACATTCACCTCATTGCAACATTGACGTTTTTAACAACGTACATTTCGACAGCAGGCAGTCGCCTCTCGCCGCCAGCACAGATCGCTCGCCTCGCACGTGCAAGTACGCACAGATCGACCGCGTCGGGAAGACGGCTTGTGACAGATTGTAGTGAGCCGTGTTGTGCATAGCTCGACCGTTTGTTTACATTTCGGAGGTGCTGTCAAATGAAGTACAGTTTGACCGCATTATGATGAAATCATTTTTAATGATTATTTGACTTTATGAAGATGTTATTGAAAAATTATTCTTCAAATTAATTAATTGCTCATTAGAAATAGACTTCCATTTTGTGTAAATTATACATTGACCTTGATGTTTGGCTGATTATTTATTGACGTGATTTGAATAATCTGCAAACAATGACAGAAAGAGACATAGATATTGAATCACATTGGAGTACAACTAGAAAACACGGATACTCGAGTCTTTACATTCAAGCGTATTCCCTTTGAATACAGCGTGTGCGTCGCCTACTGACTCTTAGGGCCACGGCGGGGTTTAGGCAGGAAACGAAACCCGTCAGACATTCATGTATCAAAATTGCAAGCAATTGATAGAAATAAAATATATATCCATGGATACATTTGTTTGGTTAAGAGCTGTTGTTGTTTCTTATTTCATTGATCAATTGCTCACTACCTCAGTCTGCCCTGGGCGATTGTACTCATTCCGTAGGAATGTGGTTACACTACGACCTCGACGATGCAAGTATTTAACGTGTAGTAAAGGCTGCATGACATGCAAAGTCAGGTGACATAACGTTACGCCTATGACAGGCTGTGATCTTCAATATTACTTCCTCCTTATAACGAACACTGTATATCAGAGTATGCGATATACGCAAGCGCCGTGCACTATGCAGTGTGCTGACTCTATTTATAGAGGAGGAAATAGTGCAGACAGTCCTGGTCTTATCTCGGCTATATTTTGACGGTGTTAGAGTACACGACACGACGCATTATTTAAAGCTTAGTTGTGTGCTGGTTGTTATCTTCACTGTGTAAGTGCCTGCTTCCGCATGGTTGTTCAAACCTCTGTTGCTTGGCATGTTTCCAAATGTAAAAAAGTTAACCGTAAACATTCAGCTGTTGCTGTTATCAATGTCCGTTGTCGGGTTATCCATTTGGCGAAGTGAATGTTGGTTTACACCGCAGTCATTCGCTCCAGACAAAATAGTGGTTGATAACATGAACAACTTTACACACTGTCGGGGTGCAATGACGCACAGCCCTACAGGTAACCCATTGTTAATTCACCAACCACACTGGAGTCGGCTCTTATACAACGGGGGCTACCTTTAAAACTTAAGTAATATTGTTCAGGTTACTTTTTGTAGCGGTCGTGAAAAAGCTGTGTTTTAATTGACTCGATCCCACGTGTGATGTATATGCGTGACGAATTTATCACTCGTTGAAATGTATGCATGCAATGACGTGCAATTTCGGGGTCATCATGGGTAATCGTGACGAAGTGTTTGCACATATGACTAGCATGCATGATTCTGACAATTCCATAATTGTAGTTAAACGTGATTTTTCATCGTGCATAAGATGTGTTCCCGTACACGTATATGTATAACTATATGTCAATGTTGTTAAGCTATATAATGCAAATGCAACGCCCACATGCGTCACTCCGAATGCACCATTAACACTCAAGGTGGACTTGAAAGGAAAAACACAAACATATGTCAGTACACAGATGACAGAGGGCTGCGTGACCTAACCCTCGACCAGATCGATAACGTTCCCTAACGTGCAGTATGATATGTGCTCTATAGTTAGGTTGAGCGTCGTGTTTCTGTCTGTACTTCATATCATAGGTACTGGACTATGTCACCGGAAAAGACCGGGGTCGTGCTTATTGCTCCGTTTATTATTTTCATGACAGTCTGTCCTTGGTCTTTATTGTAAATATTAATCAGTTGAAAAAAAACAAAAACAAATAAACATCCACTTTATTCCGGTTCAAGCACCTGTCCCAAACTCTGTGTTAGCAACTGATTTATGTTAAATGAACGTTTGTCTGGTAAATCTGTTTCTTTCTTTGTTGTTTCATCACATCAGATGTCGTTAATACACCTCGTCATACAAATTTTGGTTTGGTTGGTTTGAATTTTTAGCAATATTTAGCAATATGACGGCGTTTTTTTGTACCAGTCCAGAATAATGTTGATTTTATAGTGCTAGTCCACTGGGATCCCATGCCACAGTTTAACATGAATACCCCACTCAGACACAGTACCTTGACTCTGAGCCGACGAATGCTTGTTTTAGCCTCTTTTCGCCGAGCGCCAGACAGGGTAACAACAATTAGAATATTGTAACTTCTTTTGGAATGTCGCGGCCGGGAATTGAGCCCACGGCCTTTAGCTCTCAGAGCGGACGCTCCTCCACAAGACCACAGGCGGTCCGTCATAAAGGGAAGGTTGCCTCTAGGAGAGTTGAAGAAACCCTTCTTGTCATACAGTCATGTGGAGATCATTTGAATAGGTATGCTTATATATGAAACCGATGCGGCACTTTCACTGGTTTTCTTCATTTCTAGTTCAGAAGGGTAAATCAGTGGAGGAGGATTGGTTGTTGGACAAATATTGAACGATATCAAAACCGTGTTTCAATTTCGCCAATCCAATCACCACATTGCACAGTGATGTTATCAATGATTAACTCCAGCATGTCGGATAATGTCTTCTCAGTAAGCTTAAGAGAACAGTTTATTTATTTCTGGACAAATTGTCCTGAACCTTTCAAGATTGAGATGTGTTAATATATACAGTCAACAGGTTGAAGTGGCAAATGCCCTACGACTCAAGGGATGACGATTTTCCTTAGGTTTGTCGTAGAAATGGTGTACAAAGTTTAGTTTTCGAGAATTCACATGCTATTAATTCCACTTGTCTTATATCAAACTTGGCACAGCTTCAAATATATGATCAATGTCAGTGTGTGGGAAACATATATAAACATGCACTACAACAAAGCTCACACCAAATACAGATTCTGACTAATCCGTGTCCCTCTCTCAACAACACACTAACAAAATAACAGATATGGCACATACAACATATAAACATTACACAACACTTTTCTAATTCCTGTTCTTTTCTAGCTATCTCAGTTCCTGGTAGCCTCACGCTCTGACCTCCGAGGTAGATATCTCAGTTCCTGATAGCCTCACGCTCTGGCCTCCGAGGTTGATATCTCAGTTCCTGGTAGCCTCACGCTCTGACCTCCGAGGTTGATATCTCAGTTCCTGATAGCCTCACGCTCTGGCCTCCGAGGTAGATATCTCAGTTCCTGGTAGCCTCACGCTCTGGCCTCCGAGGTTGATATCTCAGTTCCTGGTAGCCTCACGCTCTGACCTCCGAGGTTGATATCTCAGTTCCTGGTAGCCTCATGCTCTCACCTCTGAGGTAGATATCTCAGTTCCTGGTAGCCTCACGCTCTGGCCTCCGAGGTAGATATCTCAGTTCCCGGTAGCCTCACGCTCTGACCTCTGAGGTAGATATGTTATCATTATTTCTAAAGCGTCTTAGACCCAAACCCTTGCTATAACGCGTTCTCACTAACAGGTCATGGATGTGGTTCCTGGTTCAGCTGTGTCTGAAATTTCCGGGTCACGTGATAGACTGGTTTGTCTATCACCAGTGAGCGGATCATACATATTTGCTTCATCAATGACATCATACACTCGAGAATCAGTGTCCTCTGCTGACATGTGTACGCCATGGGTAGGCGTGAGGTATTGGAACCTGCAAGGAGATTGCCTCGTTAGAATACTCATGTCTTTTCTTGGATCACAGTGTGTGTTTTACCAACAATTTCAATGGTTGTCTGTCTACATTGGTCAGTTATTATGGTAAGTATGACATGGAGACGACTTTGGTCAGTTATTATGAAAGTTTGACATGGAGACTACTTTGGCCAGTTATTATGGTAAGTATGACATGGGGACCACTTTGGTTAGTTATTATGGTAAGTATTGCATGGGGACTACTTTGGTCATTTATTATAGTAATTGTGACAAGGAAACTACTTTGGTGAGGTATTATGGTAAGTATGACATGGGGACTACTTTGGTTAGTTATTATGGTAAGTATTGCATGGGGACTACTTTGGTCATTTATTATAGTAATTGTGACATGGAAACTACTTTGGTCAGGTATTATGGTAAGCATGAAAAAAGAAATAAAATACTTCTTCTGAGGGGCATCCTTGCACATTGTCACATTGGTCAGTTATTATAGTAAGTATGACATGGGAACCACTTTGGTCAGTTATTATGGTAAGTATGACATGGAGAACACTTTGGTCAGTTAGTCAGTTATTATGGAAAATATGACATGGGAACCTCTTTGGTCACTTATTATGGTAAGTACGACATGGAGACCACTTTGGTCAGTTATTATGGTAAGTATGACATAGGCACCACTTTGGTCAGTTATTATGGTAAGTATGACATGGGCACCACTTTGGTCAGTTATTATGGTAAGTACGACATGGGGACTACTTTGGTCAGTTATTATGGTAAGTACGACATGGGGACCACTTTGGTCAGTTATTATGGTAAGTATTGCATGGGGACTACTTTGGTCATTTATTTTAGTAATTGTGACATGGAAACTACTTTGGTCAGGTATTATGGTAAGCATGAAAAAAAGAAATAAAATACTTCTTTTGAGGGGCATCCTTGCACATTGTCACATTGGTCAGTTATTATGGTAAGTACGACACGGGGACTACTTTGGTCAGATATTATGGTAAGTACGAAATGGAGACCACTTTAGGCAGTTATTATGGCAAGTATGACATGGGCACCACTTTGGTCAGTTATTATGGTAAGTATGACATGGGCACCACTTTGGTCAGTAATTATGGTAAGTACGACATGGAGACCACTTTGGTCAGTTATTATGGTAAGTATGACATGGGCACCACTTTGGTCAGTTATTATGTTAAGTATGACATGGGCACCACTTTGGTCAGTTATTATGGTAAGTATGACATGGGCACCACTTTGGTCAGTTATTATGGTAAGTACGACATGGGGACTACTTTGGTCAATTATGGTAAGTACGACATGGGGACCACTTTGGTCATTTATTATAGTAATTGTGACATGGAAACTACTTTGGTCAGGTATTATGGTAAGCATGAAAAAAAAAATAAAATACTTCTTTTGAGGGGCATCCTTGCACATTGTCACATTGGTCAGTTATTATAGTAAGTATGACATGGGAACCACTTTGGTCAGTTATTATGGTAAGTATGACATGGAGACCACTTTGGTCAGTTAGTCAGTTATTATGGTAAATATGACATGGGAACCTCTTTGGTCACTTATTATGGTAAGTACGAAATGGAGACCACTTTGGTCAGTTATTATGGCAAGTATGACATGGGCACCACTTTGGTCAGTTATTATGGTAAGTATAACATGGGCACCACTTTGGTCAGTTATTATGGTAAGTACGACACGGGAACTACTTTGGTCAGTTATTATGGTAAGTACGAAATGGAGACCACTTTGGTCATTTATTATGGCAAGTATGACATGGGCACCACTTTGGTCAGTTATTATGGTAAGTATGACATGGAGAACACTTTGGTCAGTTATTATGGTAAGTACGACATGGAGACCACTTTGGTCAGTTATTATGGTAAATATGACATGGGAACCTCTTTGGTCACTTATTATGGTAAGTACGAAATGGAGACCACTTTGGTCAGTTATTATCGCAAGTATGACATGGGCACCACTTTGGTCAGTTATCATGGTAAGTATAACATGGGCACCACTTTGGTCAGTTATTATGGTAAGTACGACATGGGGACTACTTTGGTCAGTTATTATGGTAAGTACGAAATGGAGACCACTTTGGTCAGTTATTATGGCAAGAATGACATGGGCACCACTTTGGTCAGTTATTATGGTAAGTATGACATGGGCACCACTTTGGTCAGTTATTATGGTAAGTACGACATGGAGACCACTTTGGTCAGTTATTATGGTAAATATGACATGGGCACCACTTTGGTCAGTTATTATGGTAAGTATGACATGGGCACCACTTTGGTCAGTTATTATGGTAAGTACGACATGGGGACTACTTTGGTCAGTTATTATGGTAAGTACGACATGGGGACCACTTTGGTCAGTTATTATGGTAAGTACGACATGGGGACCACTTTGATCAGTTATTATGGTAAGTATGACATGGGCACCACTTTGGTCAGTTATTATGGTAAGTACGACATGGGGACTACTTTGGTCAGTTATCATGGTAAGTACGACATGGAGACTACTTTGGTCAGTTATTATGGTAAGTTTGACATGGGGACCACTTTGGTCAGTTATTATGGTAAGTACGACATGGAGACCACTTTGGTCAGTTATTATGGTAAGTATGACATGGGCACCACTTTGGTCAGTTATTATGGTGAGTACGACATGGGGACTACTTTGGTCAGTTATCATGGTAAGTACGACATGGAGACTACTTTGGTCAGTTATTATGGTCAGTTTGACATGGGGACCACTTTGGTCAGTTATTATGATAAGTACGACATGGGGACTACTTTGGTCAGTTATTATGGTAAGTACGACATGGAGACTACTTTGGTCAGTTATTATGGTGAGTATGACATGGAGACCTCTTTGGTCAGTTATTATGGTGAGTACGACATGGAGACCACTTTGGTCAGTTATTATGGTAAATATGACATGGGCACCACTTTGGTCAGTTATTATGGTAAGTATGACATGGGCACCACTTTGGTCAGTTATTATGGTAAGTACGACATGGGGACTACTTTGGTCAGTTATTATGGTAAGTACGACATGGGGACCACTTTGGTCAGTTATTATGGTAAGTACGACATGGGGACCACTTTGATCAGTTATTATGGTAAGTATGACATGGGCACCACTTTGGTCAGTTATTATGGTAAGTACGACATGGGGACTACTTTGGTCAGTTATCATGGTAAGTACGACATGGAGACTACTTTGGTCAGTTATTATGGTAAGTTTGACATGGGGACCACTTTGGTCAGTTATTATGGTAAGTACGACATGGAGACCACTTTGGTCAGTTATTATGGTAAGTATGACATGGGCACCACTTTGGTCAGTTATTATGGTGAGTACGACATGGGGACTACTTTGGTCAGTTATCATGGTAAGTATGACATGGAGACTACTTTGGTCAGTTATTATGGTAAGTTTGACATGGGGACCACTTTGGTCAGTTATTATGATAAGTACGACATGGGGACTACTTTGGTCAGTTATTATGGTAAGTACGACATGGAGACTACTTTGGTCAGTTATTATGGTGAGTATGACATGGAGACCTCTTTGGTCAGTTATTATGGTGAGTATGACATCGGGACTGCATTGGTCTGTTATTATGGTAAGTATGACATGGGGACTACTTTTGTCAGTTATTATGGTAAGTACGACATTGAGACCACTTTGGTCAGTTATTATGGTAGGTACGACATGGAGACAAATTATGGGACTATTGTGAACCGTATCTGAGAATATTTCTGAATTTGGCACACTCACCTGTTTTTCTTTAAGTGTTGACAATACTTGTAGCAGCACACAACCAGGAATACTGTTACAATGAAAAGCACACCTGCTGCAGCAAGTCCTATAAACAGTCCCACGTTATTACCTGACAAAGAAAAACGAGGTTGATTTTTAAATATTGCTGCAGGGCTTTCTTGTAAAATTTGAGATAAGCTGATTGATGTTCTCCAACTGCACAGTCAACCAGAATATATATCCTCTGTTTAAACATTAATCAGCTTGTCTTACATTTTACAAGAAATCCCTATATATGTCTGTTATAAGGGCTGTAGGAAAAGGGGTCTTGGTTAGGTTAAGGGATGGGCATAGGGGTTGGGCACATACGAGATAGGGGCAGGTGCAAGAGATGAGGAAGTGGTAGGTGCACGACGGCGCAAGACGTGCAGTGGGTGCCAGGTCTAAGACATAAGGGGTTTGTAAGTTTATTAGATAGGTGAGGGCGAAATCTGAGTTTAAACCTAGTAGTAGAAGGAAATGTGACTGGGTGAGTAATTTCATTCACATGGGAGGTGTTTCAGCCACATTGTGACTTCAGGATACATTTCATGTCCCATTTTTTCAACAAAGAGCACACCAATAACCAGTCATCAAAGAGGTAAGTTTGCTAGTTTTTAACATTTTTAGCCACACCACAACACAGAAACGACACAGCAACATATTCCAGATACCAGCTAACTTTTATTAATAGTAAAATGCGGCAGACCTAACCGACTTTGAAATAAGGCCAATTTCATGTGTGTGTGTGATGTGGCAGAAAATAGGAGTAGGGATCAAATGGTCGAGATATAGTAGAAGTGGTTGGTGTGGCAGAATCACTGTTGAAGGAGGTGTGTGCGTCGGGAGGTATTGGTGACGTGGGTAGGTTGAACGATAGGGTTGGGAGGGATTGGTGACGTTGGTAGGTTGAACGATAGGGTTGTAAGGGATTGGTGACGTGGATAGGTTGAACGATAGGGTTGGAAGGGATTGGTGACGTGGATAGGTTGAACGATAGGGTTGTAAGGGATTGGTGACGTGGATAGTTTGAACGATAGGGTTGTAAGGGATTGGTGACGTGGATAGGTTGAACGATAGGGTTGTAAGGGATTGGTGTCGTGGATAGGTTGAACGATAGGGTTGTAAGGGATTGGTGACGTGGATAGGTTGAACGATAGGGTTGTAAGGGATTGGTGACGTGGATAGGTTGAACGATAGGGTTGGAAGGGATTGATGACGTGGGTAGGTTGAACGATAGGGTTGGAAGGGATTGGTGACGTGGGTAGGTTGAACGATAGGTTTGGAAGGGATTGGTGACGTGGGTAGGTTGAAAGATAGGTTTGGAAGGGATTGGTGACGTGGATAGGTTGAACAATAGGGTTGGAAAGGATTGGTGACGTGGGTAGGTTGAAAGATAGGTTTGGAAGGGATTGGTGACGTGGATAGGTTGAACGATATGTTTGGAAGGGATTGGTGACGTGGATAGGTTGAACGATATGTTTGGAAGGGATTGGTGACGTGGGTAGGTTGAACGATAGGGTTGGAAGGGATTGGTGACGTGGGCAGGTTGAGATGATAGGGTTGGAAGGGATTGGTGACGTGGGCAGGTTGAGATGATAGGGTTGGAAGGGATTGGTGACGTGGGCAGGTTGAGATGATAGGGTTGGAAGGGATTGGTGACGTGGGTAGGTTGAAAGATAGGGTTGGAAGGGATTGGTGACGTAGGTAGGTTGAACGATAGGGTTGGAAGGGATTGGTGACGTGGGTAGGTTGAACGATAGGGTTGGAAGGGATTGGCGACGTGGGTAGGTGAAGGATAGGGTTGGAAGGGATTGGTGACGTTGGTAGGTTGAACGATAGGGTTGGAAGGGATTGGTGATGTGGGAAGGTTGAACGATAGCGTTGGAAGGGATTGGTGACGTGGGTAGGTTGAACGATAGGGTTGGAAGGGATTGGTGACGTGGGTAGGTTGAACGATAGGGTTGGAAGGGATTGTTGGCGTGGTTGGATTGAGGGATATTGGTAATGGCTGGTGTAACAGAAACGTATTGAAGTAGTGGAATGGATACTTTGATTCACGTATTTGTGACGGGTGCCACGGATGGGACAGGATACCTTTCCCCTTATTGCGACTATGTAGTCTGAACCGTAGTTGAACCTTATAGTAGAGATTTATTTTGACTTTTGAAATAGTCACTTTTCTTTCTGAACAGAAATAAAATACTTCCGTTGAGGGGCATCCTTGCACATGTGTGTTTAATGTGCACCATCATATGGGGTATACTTTAATTGTTGTGATCGACACATGTTCATCTAAGTTTGTAGCCTTAAGGACAGTAATACTGTGAACAGTTTTCATAAAATAATACTTACCTGATGTCTCTTCGCATATTCCTGTTCCCGTCAACCTGTTGCATTTGGTACATCCTCTCGAACAGTTCTTACAATCAGTCCCGTAGTAGGAGTCTACACATCCAGACACACAGAAGGAGCCCAGCTGACAATATCCTCCATCACAACCACCTGGACATGCTGTACAGTTACCCCCTGGACTGTCACATGGTATGTTACAGTTGATGCCTTGGTATCCTGGCACACAACCCTCAGTGCAGTTAGCACTTCCATGGCTAGAGATCACACATGTGTTATTCCTGCAGTTCTTGCTGCAGGTAGACTTGCAACTCAGACCGTAATACCCAGTGTCACACTCAGTGAGGCAATACCCTGTCTCACCGTCACAGTCTGAACAGTGATGGGTTTCCTTGCATGGACTGGCTGAAAGTTATATTGCATGTATTATAATTGGTGGTCTTGTGAATAGAAACATGGGCATTGTGACGTGGGTAGGTTGAATGATACGGTTGGAAGGGATTGGTGACGTAGGTATGTTGAAGGATAGGGTTGGAAGGGATTGGTGACGTGGGAAGGTTGAACGATAGCGTTGGAAGGGATTGGTGACGTGGGTAGGTGGAACGATAGGGTTGGAAGGGATTGGTGACGTAGGTAGGTTGAAAGATAGGGTTGGAAGGGATTGGTGACGTGGGTAGGTTGAACGATAGGGTTGGAAGGGATTGGTGACGTTGGTAGGTTGAACGATAGGGTTGGAAGGGATTGGTGACGTGGGTAGGTTGAACGATAGGGTTGGAAGGGATTGGTGACGTGGGTAGGTTGAACGATAGGGTTGGAAGGGATTGGTGACGTGGGTAGGTTGAACGATAGGGTTGGAAGGGGTTGTTGGCGTGGTTGGCAGGGGGGGGGGGGGGGAGGATAGTGGTAGTGGCTGGTGTAACAGAAACGTATTGAAGTAGGGATCGGAAGGGCTATAAACATAGCAATGTGTTTTTCACCAAAGGTAATTGTGGTTAAACACTTTCAACCAAAGCAATCAATTCTTTGATTCAAGTGTTTCTGACGGGTGCCACGGATGGGACAGGGTCCCTTACCCCTTATTGCGACTATGTAGTCTGAATCTTAGTTGTACCTTATAGCAGAGATTTATTTTGACTTTTGAAGTAGTTACTTTTCTTTCTGAACAGAAATAAAATACTTCCTTTGAGGGTCATCCTTGCAAATTGTGTTGAATGTGCACCATCATATGGTGTATACTTTTAATAGTTCTGACGGACACGTGTGCATCTAAGTTTGTAACCTTTAGGGCAGTAATACTGTGAACACTTTTCATAAAATAATACTTACCCGATGTCTCTTCGCATGTTCCTGTCAACCTGTTGCATGGGGTACATCCTGTTGAACAGTTCTTACAATCAATCCCGTAGTGAGAGTCTACACATCCAGACACACAGAAGGAGCCCAGCTGACAATATCCTCCATCACACCCACCTGGACATGCTGTACAGTTACCCCCTGGACTGTCACATGGTATGTTACAGTTGATGCCTTGGTATCCTGGCACACAACCCTCAGTGCAGTTAGCACTACCATGGCTTGAGATCGCACATGTGTTATTCCTACAGTTCTTGCTGCAGGTAGACTTGCAACTCAGACCGTAATATCCAGTGTCACACTCAGTGAGGCAATACCCTGTCTCACCGTCACAGTCTGAACAGTGATGGGTTTCCTTGCACGAACTGGCTGAAAAGTTATATTGCATGTATTATAATTGGTTGTCTTGTGAATAGGAAAATAGGCATGTTGATATTGAAACATGGTAAGCTAGTAGGTCAGGACATGCGCACCCATTGGGAATACTTGGTTCTCTTCATTGATTCTCAGTGACTCCTTCATATAACTGTCACAACTATTTTTGCCGTTTATTTCCAACTGAATCGTATCATTGAATCTGGTTATTCTCTGGCCTTGACGTTGTATATTAAATGACCAGTTATACGTGACCCACTAGTGGTATAAAGAAATACAAATGTGACTTATAATACCTGAAGAAATGTTTACCAAATGCGTGGCTTTGAAAGATATACAAAACTGACTATCCCCGAACAGCAGCTGCGGAAAACTGATAATAATGGCGTTGACAAATACCCGAGACTTATAATACCTTGGCTATTTTGTACTAATTGATTTGGATTTGAGAGAAACGGTTTGATTGTACCTAAACAAGTGTATGTTGTCAAAAGAAATCTATAAATAAGATACACTTAGGGTATGAAGACGTGATTGTCTTACCGCATTTAGCTAATATTATTTGTGCGAGTATGTGTATTAATACAGACGACCCTTGCACGATTAGGTTGTTGTTATCGTCCCTGAATTTAAAGTTCCCTGATAGTACCTGCATACGGTCTCACATAACCATGCAGAATGGCATCCCCGTAGTGCCTTCCTGTAGGACATGGATATTCTTCCAGCTCTACTGATCACTCCCTATATATGTTTGAGCCTACCCTGTAGCAGTCCTGTAGTGCCTTCCTGTAGGACATGGATATTCTTCCAGCTCTACTGATCACACCCTTATATGTGTGAGCCTACCCTGTAGCAGTCCTGTGGGGGCTTCCCAATAATTGCAAACTTGGATATTTCAAGTTAAATTTGTTGGATGATTTTCTTATATCATCAAAATTTTATTCTTAGCAAACTGAAAGTGGTATATTCCCCGTTCAGGGAAAAAAGGCAATTGGTACAGTGTGTCAAACACCAAGAACTTGTTTTAACCTCAGTAGCGTTTTTTCTTTGAATTGGGGACGAGTTCGTCTGTCAGTTTTCAGTGTCTTGTTTACGCTATTTCCTTTTATCAAATCTAATTTGGGGATCTAAGTAATTATGATTAAGTATGATATAAAGTTTCAAAACTTGCAAACTTGTTGTGTTGCTCTTGCTTGCTCTTTGATCTTACATTATTTAAAATGACACATTATTGTACATAGGTATGGACATTGGCAAATAAAAACACTCAATCAGCAATATACACACAACGTGTTACCTTCAGTAGCAGTTACCAAGCAGACAATCCATATCATCAGCGAGGCAGCCATTATGTTGACTGAAACTGATCAGAAAAAAACAATTAAGTGATATCGCACATTACCCATTAACATAAACATCTAAACAATGAAACAACAATTGTTTGATGCAACCACAACGAAATTAAAAGTTGTCAAGGTGTGCAGAAAACAAAGAGTGTATGTGTATACTCCTCAAGTAGCTGAGAATAAAAGAAGCTGGACACAGAACACACCACATTATATGGAGTCAAGCTTATAGAAAAGCTTTATTGAAGCCTTGAATGGTGTAACCCTCATCAAACAACTTTTGAGCAAGCACCATGTAACGATCTTTGAAGTTTTTGTGGAAAGAGCTTGCTCAATTGTACCTCACAAGAAGTGAAATGTATCACACAACGGATGGAGCTGCTGAAATATAGCTAGGAGTTGGAAGTCATCCTGAATGTGTATGTATATATCTCTATGTATATACATGAAACAGATAAGGCAGTTTTACTGGTCAAATTCATATCTAGTTCTAGAGGGTAGATGAGTCGAAGAGAATTCGTAGTTTTACCATTATTAAACGATATTAGATCATTGTAATACCTTACCTGAGAACATCTTGATAGGAATAGATCTTCAGCAACCCATGCTTGTCATAAATGGCTACTATGCTTGTCACAAGAGGTGGTCAGGCTCGCTGGCTTGATTGATGCATGTCATCGTATCCCTAATGCGAAATCGTATCTCAATTGGTCTAGACTTGATTATTTACAGACCCCCATCATAAAGCTGGAAAACAAACACACACATAAACAAAGATTAATGTACCTGAGGCTTAAATTAAACTTTAAGAATTGCATTGACCTCAGCCAATCTCAATCTATAATTATTACCTGGAATTCTCGAAGACACCATTTCTTATCCAATGAGAGTGACACTTCAAACTTTGCCTCCATCCTTGGAACCATAAGTAAAAAATCATATTTTGGTCTTAATTTGGTATATTCTTGTAGATAGACCAATTGGTTTGTGTTATATATTTTAGTGTAGTAAGTGTAAAGTCTACCTACTGTTTGACTGGGACTCTATATTAGGAACACGTTTTAGATACAAAATAAAGTGACAGACAAAATATTGCTTTGCGTGGACACCCTGATCCGGAATATATTGGTCAGACAGTTGGACTTAAAATGGAACAAAATATGAAATTAAAGGACAAAAGTGGCCACTCAAACCAAAATCATATAAATCCTTCAGAATGACATGCTTCCAGGTAGTGTCAAATGGAGATATTTATGATAATAATGGTAGTTCCTAGTATCTGTACTTTTAAGGTACATTTCGCGACGACATAAAGCAGACGGTTTAACATCCTGGATCAACAATTGAATGTCATAAAAATTGTTTTCTAAGTCCTCTCCAATTCCGTTAGATTAGGTTAACTGGTTGAGTTATGGTGGTTCAAAGGGGGACCTCTCACATGATCATGTGGAGGAAGTAAACAAAGGGTCCCCTTCATTTCTGAAGGTCCAAGCGATATGACTACTGCACAAAGACAACAACCCTGACATTCTGCACATTGAAAATAAACAGTGTCCGCTCCAAGGTGTAATGATAATATTACCTTGAAGAAGTGCGACGGTCTATTTCCTTAACATTTTCAAATATATTATCATAAAGACACTCTTTGTGTTCGGCGACGACGTATCAAGGACTAGATCATTGTATATATTGTACGGGTGGTCTGACGCCATAAATGCTATGTTTAATGTGTTGTCTGCTTACTCAAATTTTATGATGTGCACAAGACTAACAGTTAACGATCACTGTCACCACACAAAAACAAATCACAATGCCTGGCTCTCGACTTACAATGTGCACAGAGTCGTGGAGAATAGTTCCACGCCATATTGTGTCCATCATCATTTCTTGCAAAAGAACCTCTCCCAAACTATGTGAGTTAAAAACAAATGCTTGTGTTATGGTTAACATCATATAGTGGACTCGGATTGAGCAGATTCCTTATTCCTTATGATCCTGGAAGAATTGTTTTAATTCAGAATGTCAACACTTGATGATAATGGCTGAACATGCATTACAATCTGGTCCTCTCTGCTAATGTTGTTACCTGTGTTATACCTCGATAGTGAAATTTGAAACTTTCACTGTCAGCCGCTCAGCGACTAATGCCTCCCGCTTACATAAGTTGTGTGTACACGTTGATACTTGACACTCATATAAGTGTCACGACTGCCGATAGATGTAATGTAATCAGTCACGGGACCAAGCCAAGGCATGTGCTCAAAATATTCTCACCCAAACCGTCCGAGATGAACCGAATATGACTACAAATCACATACAATACTCACCAACATCTCATGAGAACAGTACAATGTTTTATGCTGCATGTGTCACATGTACCCCAGAAAGCCTGTCGAACGGGTAACCTCCCTGTTGTCAGCCACGTATCAAGTGTGCATGTAGGCATTAGCTATGTCACTGCATGACTAACTGCTCATTCGGGGCACCACGTATACCCGCGTTAACTGTTGTTGTATACATTCATCAGCTATGAACTGTTCCACCTGTGATAAGGATACTGAGATAAGGAACCTTTTATGTATCAATAAAGTCTGAATTCTTAGTATAACGTTTGGTGTATCAGAAAATAATTGTCCTGATGCTGTATAGTACATTGTAACTGCAACAACACCTTCCTGCATTATTGTCATGCTATCGACGCAATACATGGGCATGGATAGAACACTGTGACACACGAGCGCATAATCCATGCTAAATATCATATGACACTGGATGATGTATACACACATCCATTACACACACCTGCACTTGGACTATGCTATATATTATATGACACTGGATGATGTATACACACATTCATTACACACACCTGCACTTGGACTATGCTATATATTATATGACACTGGATGATGTATACACACATTCATTACACACACCTGCACTTGGACTATGCTATATATTACATGACACTGGATGATGTATACACACATTCATTACACACACCTGCACTTGGGCTGTGCTATATATTATATGACACTGGATGATGTATACATACATCCATTACACACACCTGCACTTGGACTATGCTATATATTATATGACACTGGATGATGTATACATACATCCATTACACACACCTGCACTTGGACTATGCTATATATTATATGACACTGGATGATGTATACATACATCCATTACACACACCTGCACTTGGACTATGCTATATATTATATGACACTGGATGATGTATACGCACACTCATTACACACACCTGCACTTGGGCTATGCTATATATTATATGACACTGGATGATGTATACACACACACATTACACACACCTGCGCTTGGACTATGCTATGTATTATATGACACTGGATGATGTATACACACATCCATTACACACACCTGCACTTGGACTATGCTATATATTATATGACACTGGATGATGTATACACACACTCATTACACACACCTGCACTTGGACTATGCTATATATTATATGACACCAGACACACACTCACGACACACAGAAGGACGCTACGACCATGCTAAATAGTTTAATATAAAACGATAATGGAAAAAATAACGATTATTGTCTCGATTATTGTCGATTGGGCGTAAAAGGCAATATAGTGGTGACAATTATATAAGTAGGTCTCCGCAGAGATGTGTATACAACATCTCATAACACACATCGACGATAAGGCGCAGGGAGGTGTATACTATCTCTCAATACACATTGATGATAAGGCACAGGGAGGTGTATACGACCTCTCATCACACATTGACGATAAGGCGGAGGGAGGTGTATACAACCTCTCATAACACATTGACGATAAGGCACAGGGAGGTGTATACAACCTCTCATCACACATTGACGATAATGCACAGGGAGGTGTATACAACCTCTCATCACACATTGACGATAAGGCGGAGGGAGGTGTATACAACCTCTCATAAGACACATCGACGATAAGGCACAGGGAGGTGTATACAACCCATCATAACATACATCGATGATAATGCACAGGGAGGTGTATACAACCTCTCATCACACATTGACGATAAGGCTGAGGGAGTGTTTACAACCTCTCATAACACACATCGACGATAAGGCACAGGGAGGTGTATACAACCTCTCATAACACACATCGACGATAAGGCACAGGGAGGTGTATACAACCTCTCATCACACACATTGACGATAAGGCACAGGGAGGTGTATCAACCTCTCATAACACACATCGACGATAAGGCACAGGGAGGTGTATTCAACCTCTCATTACACACATCGACGATAAGGCACAGGGAGGTGTATACAACCTCTCATAACACACATCGACGATAAGGCACAGGGAGGTGTATTCAACCTCTCATAACACACATCGACGATAAGGCACAGGGAGGTGTATACAACCTATCATAACACACATCGACGATAAGGCGCAGGAAGGTGTATACAACCTCTCATAACATCCATTGACGATAAGGCGCAGGGAGGTGTATACAACCTCTCATAACACACATCGACGATAAGGCACATTGAGATGTATACAACATCTCATAACACACATTGACGATAATGCACAGGGAGGTGTATACAACCTCTCATCACACGTCGACGATAAGACACAGGGAGGTGTATACAACCTCTGATAACACACATCAATGATAAGGCACAGGGAGGTGTATACAACCTCTCATCACACATCGACGATAAGGCGCAGGGAGGTGTGTACAACCTCTCATAACACACATCGACGATAAGGCCATGCTAAATATTCTATAACACTGAGTCATGCTTGTAAACACTTATAATACACCAGCTCAAGGGTACGCGAGGAAGAATGTGTGACAAGCACTGCATTGCGACCACATTGGGCTATCAGGTTGCCTTGGTTTGCGTCCCTGTGTAGGTGGATGAGTCTGGAGCACGTGTTTCAGGAGTAGTGTCCCTTTGTCCTATACACCACTTCGATCCTAACTTCACCCAGACAGGTAGCGTTTTGGGCCCAGTTAAACCAATCAGCTGGACATGCCGTACTCTGTGCATCAATATTGTATTGCTGAAACTTGTAAATCTATTCAAAATATTCAAATTATAATTTTAATTATGTAATTTACCTAGAATCAAAGTCCTGAAGCCGGGTGCCAATGTGCAAATCAAGAGCAAAATATAGGCTTTCGGTTTGCGCGTGCTTGAGTATATCTCACGAGTACCCTTTGTTACATGACAGTGTATTTCATGGTTAAACAATGCTTGTCACTGTATTACATTGTTTCTGTTGAGGTACCTTGGGCTCGCCAGAATACAGTGATATAACTTCAAAGCAATGTTAACCCCAATTCACTCACTGGAAAATTATGTTGATATTCAGTAGAAGTCCATTGCAATGTATTTGGACAATGATTAGTCGGAATCAGGATCAGGAATGTAGTAGTATTTAATGTAGGAAAGGGTGAGAAAGTTATTATATTTAGATGCTCGGTATATCTGTAAACTCTCCTCTGGCATGGATGGATGTGAAACGTTATAGAAACATGTGGAATAGTGTGTGATGTTCAAGTGAAACTGAGCTGGTCTGGCCCTGTGAAGAAAGTACTTGAAACTGGTTAGCCCATACAAGTAGAGAGGGCGCGTGCCAGTTTCATCTCACGTTTCATCTCGCATCTGACATTACATCAAGACCAGCCGTTGTGTGAAGATCTCTTATCACCTCAGATTCCCAGCCTCGGCCTATCAAGGAAGCCTGGCCTCTGTTGTGGACAGGTACATATTATTAACTGCACTTTTTGCGATCACCACTGCCTTCATATTTTGTTTTTGACACAGTCATTGAATATTGCACAACATTAACATATTATTTCTATTTGGTAATCGACATCTTGGCGCTGCAAGTCAGAGATCCACTAATTCCACTAGCATTGTCTCTGTGATACTCCAAGGTGGGTGGGGAGCTCGAGTAATGAAATATTGTACAATGAACTTGAACGGACCCCTAAAACAATACACATCCACTGGGCAGAGACCTACAAATCCGTTAAGTATGGCTAACTTGTGGCTTGTCTACCTCAGGTATGTTTACCTGTCAATATGAATGAGCTTCGAAGTACCTCACCAGCAATCAGTCGTGTACGTGTTGGTTGTTTATTCAAATATCAAATGTATATGCAATTAAGTTATACTTTTGTTTTTACATAAATAAGAAAGAAAACAAACCCTAGTATTGGTGATGTCAAATTAATTTTTTTTTAATATGCTTTGTCAATACTTCCTCTAAATATTTCCACAAGAGAAAAATAAAAAAGAGTACTGTTGTGTCATTGTGCTGTTTGAATATTGTGATTTAATGTCGATAATATCAAGTTTTACCTTGATTCAATTATTTTATCTATTTACAACCATGTATAGTAATACATAAGTTAAAGTAATTTTAATTAATATTTCTTTTTTTGTGAACAAAGGAAGAAACAACTTGGTAAGTGAAAAGACTATTCTCAGTTGAGTACATCATGAGAAAGTAGGACAAGACCTGTTTTTTAATACAATCACTATTAAGTTCACATGCAACTTGATTTTTTATCTAATGCACACACACGAGTAACAGTCTAATGTCTGTTTCTCTCATGTAATGAATCAAGGAGTAATGTTTTGTTGTTTGTTATTTATTCATCAGGACTTTTATCTGTTCTTGAAAAAAAATCTTTTTTGACTTAAGACACAACTATATACTAAACAGTGTGTTCCAACCTAGTTGGAAGGTCTACTTCTTACCAGTTACTAACACTCAACCAGCCAGTAAGGTTAAACAAAAGAAATATGGACAATTATACGTGCACTTTTGGGAGAATTAATACGAAGAGCAAAACACAACATGAATTAATAGAACGATAAGTATAAAGACGTTATGTAATACCGAAGAGTGGCGAGGCGTTCAACGACGTTCCTAGAATTTGCAGTTGGTAATGAAGTTACTGCTCACCCTCACTTATATAGTCTTACATTATTGAATAAACATTCCATTACAACCAATGGAAATGTCGTGTTTATAATGTTATGTAAGAAATGTAATGACACTTGTAACCCTTCACACTCCTTAAAAAAACATTTTGTTTCTTTTTTGATGGATTTACAAAGTGATTGTTGTTTCACCAATGTGAGATTAAAAGTAATTCGATGGTTGTTTAATGTTTTAAGAACGTATTTATGAAATGCAACACTTTAAAAATGATCTTGTTAAGTATCTTTCTTTTTAAAAGATTTGGATTTCACAACCGAGAAAAATTAAATTCATGATAAATAAGTGTGTTAAAACAAAACAAAACAACATGAAAAATCTATGTTGATGGTTTAAAACATCTCATTTATAGAAGTTCGTATCTTTATTGGAAAGGCTTTGATTTTTCAACAACTCAGATAATAATTGTTCATCTTTGTTAAACTATTTCTTTTAGCAATAAACCTTCATATGCAGAAGAGGTCAACT